TAAAAAATAAAATAAAAAAATCACTCAGTATGTTTGAGACTCTTACTTGTAAGACAGTAGCATCTAGATCAGGGGTGGGCAGACTATGGCCCATCACACCTTTCAATCCAGCTCTCGAGCTTCCGCTGGGTAGTGGGGTTTTGGGGCTTACCCCACTCCACATCTGCCATGGCTCCCCAAAGCAGCAGCATGTTTCCCTCCAGCTCCTATGCATAGAGGTAGCCAGGGGGCTCTGCATGCTGCCCCTGCCCCAAGTGCCGGCTCTGCAGCTCCCATTGGCAGGGAACCGCAGCCAAAGGGAGCTGCAGGGGTGACGCCTGCAGACAAGGCAGTACGCAAAGCTGCCCGGCCAGTGGCGTGCCTCTGTGTAGGAGCCAGAGGGGGGACTGCCGCTGCTTCCAGGAGCTGCTTAAGATGAGCGCTGCCCGGAGCCTGCACCCCAACCTCTTCCCATGCCCCATCCCTCTGCTCCAGCCCTAATCGCCTCCTGCCCTCTGAACCCCTTGGTCCCAGCCTGGAGCACAGTCCTGCACCCCCAGCCAGAGCCCTCACCCCCTCTTGCACCCCAACCCCCAATTTTGTGAGCATTCATGGCGTATCCTACAATTTCCATACCCAGATGTGGCCCTCAGACCAAAAGGTTTGCCCACCCCAATCTAGATGCTCCAACACTGTACACGCTACCATAGGTCTGAGGTAACTGCACCTCTGACCCCTTCGTGCTATCCTTTACAACACCCCACTTAGGGCACAGGCCTCTAACCAACATCTAAGGGAGGTGTTTTCAATGATGCCACAAAGGGGTCAAAGATGCAGTTACCCCCACAACAGTGACAGCATGTACAGTGATTGGAGCATCTAAATCAGTGGTGGTCAACCTGGGGCCCACCAGCCGTCCGCAGCCCATTAGGGTAATCCGCTGATGGGTCACCAGTTTGTTTACATTTGCATGGCTGCCTGCAGCTCCCAGTGGCCGCGGTTTGCTGTTCCTGGCCAATGGGAGCTGTGGGAAACGGCGCGGACCATAGGGATGTGCTGGCCTCCGCTTCCCGCAGCTATTGGCCAGGAACAGCGAACCGCGGCCACTGAGAGCTGCGGGCGGCCATGCAAATGTAAACAAACTGTCTAGCACCCTACCAGGGGATTACCCTGAGGGGCCACAGGTTGCCCGCCACTGATCTAGATAATACAAATGGTCCCTTCTGGCATTTAAGTCATGGCCCAGATTTACTTCAAAGGAAAAATCCTCAGTGCATAAATCCATGTCAATCTTTAATATGCAGCATCAGGACTCAAATCCGTCCTAGCTTCATACCAAAGTATCCTGTTCTATTTCTCTTTTCTACTACCAAGCTTCAGCTCATCTAAGAGATCAGCACTGAAGAGCAAGTGTTGGCAGGAAGTGCTATGATGGAGCTGGCTACGCTCTGATGCATCACTAAGGAAAAAAAACTGAACAGAAACACCTCATATGTCATTCTTTTTCCTCACTTCCCCCTCTCAGAGGCCAGTTCAAAACATTTCTGAAAGTATTAGAGAAGGGATGAAAATAAAGATGGAAGTGTGGCTATGAAGAGGCTATTGCATCTCTATTACTTAATTTGGGAAGCTTCATTAAAATGTATCCTCAGTATTTATATACAAACCATGTAAAGAACACAATGCTGTTCAACACCAATCCTATTACAAAATGTCTTCCTATGTACAACATGTAGTTCAGTGGGGTCCTAATTCTAATTTGGACTCTGGAACACTACAAATGAAGAATAATAAAAACAACATTGCTTACTCTCACTTTATCTACCAGCATATGAATTACACAGTTTTGCTGTTTAACTCTTTCCAGCACACTGTTCAAACTTTCTAAACAAAAATGGGTAATCACATGAAATTGAGATGCAGTAAAAATGTTTATTGTTTTGTTACAAAGTGTTTAAATACTAAATCTATAAATTGTAAATTTTAGTCAAAGAGAAAATACCATTCCATAACTTATGAAAATATCAAAAGCTGAATTTCAGCACATGCCTTGGTAAAATAAGTTATTTTCTCCTAAACATTCTTACCTTGTTCACCAAGATCTAAAGACTACAGCAGAGACTCTCTGTCCTGTGGAAATTAATGTTTCTTAAGACAGAAGACTTCCTATGTTAGCCTCAATATAAGCCTCCATACTGGCTTGATGTAAGTGTACATGTATCATAAACAAACATGGAAAAAAGGTGTGTAACAATGTTGTTAACAGGATTCACTAATAAGGTAGAGGTCTAGTCTCTCAATATGCATTCAAAGCAGTTATAAAAGAATAGATCCTTGAATACTACTATACCATACATTAAACTGATAAGAAGTGATAATCCTACTTCAGAAGAAAAGTGCAAGTTATTAGCAGAACAGCTCTCTTAAAAATGGACTTGATTGCCTATACAAAGCCCAAAGAGAGTTACTTTCCTAAACTATTGTACTGGTTTTCTTTTCTAAGCTATTTTAATATTTCCAGATCTTTTAATTGTTTGAATCAAGTTTTCACGAACTTCCTAATTTTTAATTTAAATCAATGCAAAAATATACATGTAAAGTCACATATATCAAATTCAGTGGTGCTTTGACTAACTTCTGAATATCATATATGGATTTCTGAATTGTACCTAAGTAACGAGATAGCATTAGCAAAACCTATATCTAAGGCATAGATTTTAAATTAAAAAAGCACATTTCTAAAGAAAAGCATCCATTTGTTATTCTGTTTGTGTGGAGAAATCACTCATTTTCTCAAATTATCACAGCATTCTGGGTTTGACCTAGTGTCTCCACCTGATATAGGTAACATAATAGGGACACCTGCGAAGAATGGAAAGATATTTTGTGTTTGAGTAATTAGCAAGTTATAAATCTATGGATAAATGTCTCCTCACATTGCTTGGCCTCACTATATAAAGTGTTTGTGGATGATTAACACAAAAGACTAAAATAAATAGACAATACCATAAAATATTTTCTGGTTCACAGAAATAGTTCATATTTCCATTTTACTTTTTTTTTAAAAAAGCTATTAATGGGAAAAAGGATTTATGAAATCTCCTTCATGAAAATAAATATCCCACTACATTGAGTTACTGGCAAGAAATTCTAACATAGCAAATCAGATTTTCAAAATATTAAACACCTAGGGCCACATGCAATATGGGCAAACATTCACACACACAATTTGTATATGTAATTACCATGACTGCACACATGAATTTAGTATTTGTGCATACAAACACCAGTTAAATGATTAAACTGGCCAGTTGTAGGTGCAGATTCTGTGACAGAGCATGTTAAGTAATTGTTCATGCAAATTAGACTTACAATTCTGTACTCATTTTTGCTGATGGCCTTAAGCTTTCAAAACTTCAAAATTTGTCATTCATCCAGCTGATCTACATCTAGAATTTTTAATTTCTACTGCAACAGATACAAACATTAGGAAATAGGGAGGTAGTTAAATCTTTTTTACTTTTTTTTAAATTATATGCATATTTTGTTTCCACTTTAATGTATGACCATTTTTATTCCACCTTTAACATCTCTTTCTCCATGGTAGCAGACTCATCTGTTTTATTCCTTGCCGGAGACAATGTGCTATTCCAAGTTCTGTCACTGACTAGCAATCTGATCTTGAACAAATCTCAACCACTCTCTGTTTCGGTCTTCCTCATCTGTGAAACAAAGATAATAATGCTGCTCACATTTGTTAAGTTCTCTTAGATCTTCAGACACAAAGCTATATATAAATACTATTAATTAACATTCCTAACTGAGCTAACTTTCGATATCTGGAGCCAGCGGAGTACCATTATTTTTGTCCCAAAATAGGGAACGCTATCTGGACCTCTAAAACTGCACCAGAAGAAAATCCCTTATCGTTCTAGTGTGTAATTCCCAAAAGAATAACTGTGTAGAGATACAAAAACTCCTCCTCTTTATTAACAGAATAGTATAGGTACTAGTTAATATGGTGGGTCTCACCTTCGCCTGGCAGCAAATTTTTCTGCAGGTGCCTTTAAAATGGTTCATCCTGCCTTGTTTTCAGGACTAAGTAACCTTTTCATTAATCTTCCTTTTTTTACATTGTCCCTCTAGGACCAAACACTGACATATTACACACACCACTCCCTACAATACAAGAACAGTTGGCTAAAGCTGAACCTAAATAAGATTGTGGTTTTGCTGATAGGCAGAGGGAACCACTTTGAAGAACTTGCTTCCTGCATAAAATTCCTGCTATTGTAGACCTCTATCCTTCAATTGTTAAGATGGTCTGAGCCTGGGGCTCCTTTTAGACTCAGTGCTATTGAATGTCTATACATCAATAGTTGAAAAAAAGCCACTCACTCATCTATGCCTCACCAGAATATCGCACAAAACTATGGTGATCCTATTTAAGATCTCCAGGCTTAATTATTTTGGCTCATATCAAAAAATGAATCCACACAACCTGAACCAATCCAATTAGTACAACATGGAGCAACCCAACTGCTCAGAAACACAGGTCATCATGAATACATTGGGCTGATGCGCCACTCTGCAAAGGCTTCCGGTTGAACAGAGTTGAGTTCTAGTTTGTTCTGGTAGTCAAAGTTCTCCATAGAACTGGCCATGGCTACCTCTTTCTTTGTGAATATGATCCCCTTGGCAGTTGGGTTCAGCTGAAATGATTTAACTGTCAACCAAAAGGGGGGAAGTTTGACTGTGGGAGACAGAACTTTCTCAGGAAAGTTTCCTATGCTATGGAATTTTCTCCTGCAACAGATAAGGATGACTGTTGACTTCATACCTACAACTGAATACAAATTTCGTCTTTGCCTTTACTTTCCCTTAATTTTTTTTACACACACACACACACACACACACACACACACACACACACACGAACCTAAAAC